TATGTATTTTTAGAGGGAAGGAATAAATACATTTGTGTGAAAGCAGTACATTAGATTCTAATTATCAGCTTTTAAAAGAAACTATGCAATCTGTGTCGACCATAGAGTGCTTGCCAAGAGAAAATATGTGTAGAATAATTATATTTTAAAAGGGCAGCCTTCCAAGTAGAAAGTCTCCAGGCTCATTTACACCCTCCTTTCTTGTAGTGGGTATCCTTGTACCAAGACACTTTTGCAGTAGAGATCTGCCAAAATGGGTCTGCTTGGGTGTAAGCTAACTGTACAAAAATGGCCTTCTTTTCAGTTCAGGGCATCATTCTGTATTTTCAGTTGTAGGTAATATTGGAGTTGAATGGATGTTCTGGTTTCTCAAATAGTTTTCACTGCACATCTTACCCAAGAAAGTACAGGGGCTGGTGGCTACAGATGGAATGGTGATACCTGGGAGTAGATGAAGGAAGAGAAAATAATGGAGTAAAGTCCTAAAATATATTGCATAAAGAAAAATGACATAAAGATACGCATGTGGGATGTGTACCTAATACAGTCATGATAGCAAGGAATGGTTGAATAGCCTGAAACATTTACCATTTTGTTCAGTCCAGGTATGCACTGCAATAAATCTGCAACTGCAAGTTGATTTACTAGTAACAAGTAAATTGAACAGTGATTTTATTATTTATTTTATTATTATTTCTTTTTTTTATTTTTCAGCCTGTAAAATTGGCAGTGGAATAAGACCTAGAATCTCAGAGTGTATCATAGGGTAAATATATCAATTTAGGGATTTAAAGCATTCCTTGATACTTAAACCTTTTTTACTCATTCTCTACCTTTTTTTTTAATTTTATGAGGATGGGAAATGTGGAAAGGGAAGTTGTCAACTCATACAACAACTTTTCTGTGTCTGTATTGCTGTGAAATTAAGAACACAGCAATCCTGGCAGATGTCATAGCCCTTGTTCTTTCATGATTTGTGGGGGTATAGAGATTGCTTCATTTATAAGTAAACTATCTTGCAATTTTTAAGCTTCTTTTCCTTCTGATTCCTTTGCCTATGTATGTGAATTTACATATTTGACTTTTAAAATGATTGTATTAATAGAAGTCATTGAAGTATTTAAGGAAAGAGAAGGTGAACAGTTGAGGATCAGATGAGTAAGGTACTGAAGAGAAAATCAGCACCATAGGCTACTGAGGAACAAATACATCTGGTCCATGCTCCTGCAATGCTCAGTTTACCTAGGAGTACAGAACCATTCTTGAAGTACATTACCTAATGCATTTCCTGGTCTTTCATGTAGTTTGAAATTATTTACGCAGGTGTATGATTGCTTGAAAGCGACACAGAGCTGATAACACTGAGTTATTGAAGCAGTAAGATCTTAATTTATTGCTAAAATACAAACAATCTTACATCATGTTAGAAACTGTCAGAAGAACTGAATAAATAATTTCTCCCAGATGTGCTAGTAGTGAGTTGTTATCAACTTTTCATCCTCTCTGAAGCAAACTAGCATTCAGCTTGTTATAGGCTGAAGCAGATTGCTAGATCACATGGACTTGTAGACTGACTCAGTCTGGCATCTGGTACTGGATATGATTCAAAAATACTGCCACAATTTGTGCATAGATTTATGCAATGTATCTTACAATAGTCTCTGTATTATTATTCATACTTTATTTTTTTTAATCAGTCATTTCCTTTGCCATATGTGTTATTGTTTCTACACATTAGCAAGAATTATAGAATATGTCTTTTTCTGCCGTCTCAGAAAAATATTCACGATTTTCTGCACTAACAGAGCTTTGCTGCAAGAAATTATTAGTTTACACTTGGGGCAGATTTGCCCAGAGATCTGACACTAAACTGTGTTACTTACACAGGAGAATAAAAGTGCAGATTTCAGCAAAGGTAGAAATGAACCCCTCACATTTCCAAGCCTTGCTTCATTTTTAATATTCAGGATTTATGGGGAAAACATAAAATTAAGACAACCTGTGTGAATACAATCATTTGTACAACCTTGTTGCAGTAAATTCAGGTGATTCTGGAATATAATCACATTGTAGGGAGGGAAGTAGGTAATATCTGGGCACTTTTTCTCTTGCCCTTTAATTTTGCTGAAATAGTGGAAGACCAAGAATTAGAAAATAAGTGCAAGCAAGAGGGAGAAATGGGATACAGACCCAAAGTTGCTGTGGATACAGTGTCAGAAAAACTAGTCTCTCACTAATCTGTATGGTTTTCAGCACAAAAAAAATAAATGTGCTTTCTTCCAGTGCAAAACAGCTTGTAGCACACAAATCAAGACACAGTAGCAAGCACTCATTATTTAGCATAAACTGCTTTCTGGAAAATTTCAGGCACTGAAAGTCAGGATTATTTCCTAGTGTTGTGTAAGTACTGCTAATGCTAGCTTCTTGCTCTTCATCCTTGCATCTGAATCTAAATTTTGCATTCCTTTATTGGTGGAGAATTTAGTTAATTTTAAATTAATCAGTCAGCTGTTCCCCTGCAGTAATTTGACACTGTGCAATGTTGAATTGCCCCACAAATTACATAGCTCAGTGTGGGTTACTAATAAGGGTGCACTTGCGCGTTGTCCAGCAGTGTCATCTGGGAAGCTTATATCAAAATCAGCAGATTTGGTGAATAAATACAATGTGACACATCCCAGCTAATTCAGATGATTGCAGCTCTGCTCAAATAGGTGAAATGGTTGCTGAGTTGTCCTAGCTGAGTGATACTTGTGAAGCCCAGTGAATACATCTGTAACTGTAGAACTGCTAATCCTGCCAGTTGTAAACCTTTATTTCTCCAACACATTTGGGGAAAAAAAACTATGTTTAGTCTAGTCTTTGTATTTCAGTTTTCCTTTGTCTTGGGAGCCCTGGCTTTTCCTGCTTTTTCTCCACCTAGGAAAAGCAACCATAATTGATTTTCTTGTATAATCCAAGGGCTCAGATAAGACATGCAATGCAGCGTGATTTGTTACTAGTTGAACTTAAAACCTACAGCTGGCAATCAGAAATACACTCAACCATCTCAGCTTTAGTGCCAAATCCAATGACAGCAGATGGGAGCAATCTTGTCATGCTTCTCTGTTTACAAATTCCTGCTTCATAATTTTGCTCTGTGATATTCTTACTTCCAGTAGTATGCATGAAGGTTGTTTTCACAGTGAAGCCCAAATAAATTTTATTTAATGTAGGGACACTACCAAAACAATTATCTGGTTCCCTCTAAAAAGTACTAACATTTTTTTCCTTCAAGCATTCTCATCGTAATTTTGATTCTTTTTTTCTCTTGATGTGTGTCTGTAAGCTTTTAAATGATAATGGAAGGAAAATACCAAGATTTTACTGAGCAGAGTATAATGAAACAGCAGGAAGTTTTGAGCCCCTTAAATTAAAATGATGAGGAAGAAATAGACATCAATTATCTCAGACTGCATTATCTTTTCATTTTGCAAGCAAGGAAATATTTAACACCTTAAAAGCAAAATGCTTTAGTTTGGACCAGAAAGATAATTTAAAATCTCATGTGGGTGGCAGCTAGATGAAAGATCAGAATTTAGTATATTCATTGAGGAAGAATGATGAGATGAAAAAGTGGACAAAGAAGTGACTATGTTCATGTTCGCTCTGTGCCACAAACCATGACCTCTTCCACAGTCACAAGGACCTATTTTCAATTTCAAGTCAATAGCTATAAATGTTAGTAATTGCCATTAACTCCTTTTCCATAGCTTAGCTTCCTGCCCCATTACCAAAACCATTTAGTTTCCCAGTAATTCATTTTCTACATAATCTCCTTTCATGTCCCATATTTCCTCTTTTGTGTTTCACCTTGGGAAGTACATCATGTAAATAAAGTCTATATCCATAATCACTTTACAGTTCAGCTTAAGGGAATTCAGTCTTGAAAACTCCATTCTGACCAGTGTCCATAATGGAAGATCATTTTAGTCCTCATTAGATGGGAAAAGTGGATTTAAAAATATTTTAAAAACTATTTCAGCATCAGTTATGTAACCTTGTGTATATATTCAAAGCTTCTAGATGTATTTAAAGGATAAGTATGGAGCAGGTAAAGGCATCTGCAAAAGAAGTTCATCATATGGTACTGGGATTTTAAAAAATCCTGCATTTAAAATAATGTTTAAGGCCAATTTATTGTAGGATAGACATTGATTAAAGGGACAAAAACAACCAAGAAGTTGAATTCAAGTTTATTTTATTTTTAAATTTTAACATGAGATTCATCAGAGTAATAGCCTGAAAAATGTGTATATTGGTATTTAAGGCAGAAAATACTGAGTTCTGTGCTCTTTCGAAATGAGCAAGAAAATCCTAGATTCACAGTGTAATTATCTCAGAAAACATAAAAGCAAGTGATCAAATATTTGTGTAAAAGACAGTATTTTTAGTTCTGTTTAGCATTTACAGTAATCATTAGGTGTATATCTTCATTTTTGTAAAACCAGGTTTGAGTTTTAGATGCCATAAAGCTCTTGTTCTTGAAATAATTAGATATTTCCCTTTGTCTTCTCTGAAAGCCAAATGCCTGTGAAAGCTTTTGACACTCTCTCATGTCATCTCACATTTGTTTGATGTGGCTATGGGTGATTTTACATCCTTGGTTTTAAATTTCAGTTTATAACAAATGTGAAGCCCTGCTTCATTGCAGTTTTAGTCACTCAACGACAGCAAGTCTGTGCTGTACTAGATAGGGGTAAAAGTCTAACAAAACATACTACCTACAATTTTTCCATGCACTTAGAGGCAGTTAAGGACTTAAGAAATTGGTTCCTCCAAAGTCTTTTATTACATTATAAGAAAAAAAAAACAAAACACCAAAAAACCCAACAACAAAAAAAGTCACACAAAAACAAACAAAAAAAACCCAACAAAATAACCCCAAAATGTTGTTTTCTAGCATAGGAAAAGCCATTAATGTTTTTGTCCTCCCTTTTGTTTTTTTTTTTCTTCTCAAGCTTCATTCTGACTTGGACAAGGGAGTCGGCACTGTTAAATATACCCTTTCAGGAGATGGTGCTGGCACGGTTTTTACCATTGATGAGACCACGGGAGACATCCATGCCATAAGGAGCCTAGATCGAGAAGAAAAACCTTTCTACACACTCCGAGCTCAGGCTGTGGATGTTGACACCAAGAAACCACTAGAGCCTGAATCAGAGTTCATCATCAAAGTGCAGGACATTAATGATAATGAGCCAAAGTTTCTGGATGGGCCTTATGTTGCCAGTGTCCCAGAAATGTCTCCAGTAGGTGAGTAAGAAGCTGTAAATGCTTGATGACTAATTGCATATTACTTCATTATCTCAATGTACTTTTCTTGCTGAGGAAAGAGAAGGATGAAATTATAAAAACAACTTCTAAAAATTATTATTAGAAATGTTTCTAGTATTCTGTGACTAGATATACACAGATTACAGTTTTGTTTTAGTTTTGCTTGCTTATTTAGAAACTTGTTCTCCTCCAATATGCCTGTGCCTGTGATATTAAGTTTCTGAGGGTAGAATGACTTAAAAATAAAGATATTCAAGGAAGGTATGATATGGTCCAGGGGTTCTCTGTAACCCCAAACCTATTTTGTCACATGATGCATTCCCCTCTCTTCCTTTGCTTACATTTGCTGTTTGCTGTACAAAACTGGATTACCTGTTTACTGCAAAGCATCTTGCCATTTAACTGGTTTTGTCTTTGTGGCTCTTAAACTCCTACAGCACTTGCATGATCTCCTAATTATACATTAGGGGGCAATTCTCTATTCAAGTCCTGTTGTACTGTGCATGCTCTAACTGTTGCCCTTTCCTTGGTAACAATGCAAGAATGAGAGTCTGCAAGAGTGGCTCAAGTTGTCAAAAACCTAATGTCCAAGAAAATCTTTAGTACATCAGGGCCTTAATTTAGAAGAAAAAAAAAAAATAAAAAGAAGATTGCCTGGGAACATGGCAAGTTTTCAAAAACCTAGTGTACAGAGGACAGAGTAATTTTCTTTTCAGAGAAAGGTGGACTGCAGTAATGATTCTGAAGTACTAGAATAGGTTTTTGCTTGAAGAATTTTCACAAAACGATAGATATTTGCCATAAATGACATAAAGAGCATCGATCCTGCTTTGGAGCAGGAGAATAGGTTAAATGGGGCCTTTTGGTCTCTTCCTGATGGCTGATTCTGCAGTGGTCCTGAACAGTGTGTTGGCAACATAAGCACAGTGCTTGTGTCCTGCTGCCAGATGGCATTTTGGGTTTCCCTGCAGGCACCAGAAATTAATTTGTTCTGGGATGGGAGTCCTTTAACTTCCCAGTGCAAGTTCCAGCTTATTGCCCTTCTCTCTCCTAAACTGTCTTTTCCCAGTACTTGACAAGCCAGTATGAGCCATTTAATACTCCTGGCAGCTGTTAACAGTTTTGGAAATTTTCTGAGTTGGAAGTGGCAGAGGCATACTGTTCCCCCTCAGCTATGTACCTTAGATGTTGATATTTTTGGAGTCAATCAGGGAGTAGCTATCTAAACAAGCTGCTACATAGAATTAAGGAGGTATTATTTAAAATTTTGTGATAAGGGGTAGTAGAATGTGATAGAATATGATAGAATGTGATGTGAGTAGACATGTAGACATGATCATGTTAACCTTATAGAAGTGTAGAGAAGCATTCACTATAGTCACTCACAGGGGTTTGTCTGTAGATTCACAATATAGGTGCACCCTTGTTTCCCCTAATGAGATGCATAATAATATTGCTTATGGCTGTATTATGTACAGATGAAAACCATTCCTTATATTTTCACACCTGTGTCTGCAGCAAATTAAGGATAACATTTCTCACCAGTGAACATATGGATGGTTGTGAAATTGTTTGTAAAACTTGATCGGAAAAAAAAAATTCAAACCAGTTTGTACTACAGAAAATAGTGCCTGCATTCATTCCTGTACTCTGTTGTTCTCCCCTATCTTTCTTTGTTATTTTCTTAAATAACATGGAGCAGAAGATTAAATGCTAACAGAGCTTTTACTTCATATGAAATACACTTCAAGGTGTGCCATACATTGTGGCTTTTACATGGATGAGGAGTTTCATGACTAAATGAGATACAGCTCAGCATGATGTGTCGTGCATACAGCATTTTAAAAGAAATGCTTTTCAATTTATTCTCCTTTAGAAAAACAGAAGTAGATGCCATGCGTACTTCAGGCAAAAATGGATCTTCTTGGTCTTCTCTTTATTGGGTCACATTCACTATATCTAAAAGATTTAGTCATAATATTTTTTTGGTTTTTTTTCTCTATTAAAAAAAATAATAAAAAAAAAGATGGATCAAAATTGATCAAAAAAGGCAAGGCAGAAAAAAAGGAAGCCTAAACTTCAATTAGTGGCTACTAAAGCAGATAAGAATTTTTGCTGTTAGGTTGTCTTGCAGCAAAAATATCCAGAAATGCCTTGTCCTCCGTAGTGTGCCAGGAGATTTTGCCTTCTCTGCAGGTCTTGCTATTCTCTTGTTCTCTCTTATCTGTTTTTCTATCCTTATGCAAGCACAGATTTCTCAGAGGATCTAAAACTACTCCTTTCTTTCATCAGTACCATTTAGTTGCACCTATAGAGATGCTTAGACCTACCAGTGCCTCAGGCTGACATTGAAAATCACTTTGATTTTTCAGCTGGTGCAGCATATGGTTGTCTTGGCTTAGGAAAAAACCCAGATAAACTCTTCCTCTCTGTCTCTCTTTTTTTTTTTTTTTTTTAACATTTTCATTTTATAGTTGCCACTTTTTAATTACCAAATGTTCCAAATTTCATTTACTATAGTTTTACAACAGTACTGAATATAAACTGCACTCATGTACATATTTAGTGGGAAATTGCAGGAAATTCACTGAAATTCTACTTTTTTCACCCTTACTAGTCTCTTATGTGAGCCTGAAAATCTTTTGTGACTAGTGACTTGCAGTCTTATTGTTTCATGACATTTGCTTGCAAAGGTTTACCCAATTTGGTGCTTTATCCCAAGGTTATTGGTAATATTATTGGTAATGGTACTTTTTAGAAACTGTCATGGCTACATGGTTCTCAGTTTTGTAAAATCTTAGTGATTTTTTACTGGAAAAGTACAAAAAAAATTAAAATTTATGGCATTCTCAAGATCTGGTTTTCTGCACAGAGAAATATACCTGTCATAGCCATGTTTTTCACGGTAGATTTTCTTAGAACTTGTGTTACTTTCCGTGCACATTGTAGGTGGACGTTTACTTTTTCCCTTCAAATTTACATTGACGGCAGATTGAATTTTCTTCCACAGTTTCTGTACTCTAGTGTTGGTTTGTTTTTCCTTTTAATCAATACCACTCATTTAAAAAAGATAGTGGTACTGGATATTTTATTTTTTTTTCTGAAGAGATAGTTTTAGGACTGCTATTTTTACTTAGCAGTTCCCCCCTTACCAGGAACCAAATTCCTTCATATGCTCCTAAAAAAAAAGTTAGAAGGCTGTTTACCCACTACAGGCTAGGGTGCAAACCTATTTCCTGCCAAAGTTTGAATGGACAGCCAGCCTTGCTCTTTCCATATGTACACTGTAATCTGTTCGTGTGTGATGGAGGGGAAAGTCAATCACAGCCATAAACAAGAAATATCTTCTCTTGAAAAGCTCCTTGGGTTACCAACTGTTGTAACACGCAGGCTGTTGTACCCATCTGTGATTTCCAGTGTTTCTGATAGTTCCAAAGTGGACACAGCTTCCGCACTGTAGTGGAAGGATATCAGTGCCTCCAAAGTTGACATTGTATTGATCACATGATAAATGAGGTGCAGAATGCCTTATGGTGAAGATTTTATTTTTTAAAGGATGATTTGAAATTGCCTGCAGAAAAGCTCAGCAGATGGAGTCAGATTACAATGCAGAACTAATATTTTAAGAACAGAGATTTCTATGCTGTTCTTTTACATCTAGTAAGAGACTTATAAAAGCTTAAGAGCTGGACTCCTAATGTTGGGTTAGTTTGGTTTTTTTGGTTGGGTATTTTTTTGTTTGTTCATTTGGTTTTGGTTGTTTTGTGGGATTTTGTTTGTTTGTTTGCTTGTTTGCTTCTGATACTGAATTTGTTTTATCGATATCTTTATTTGAAAATATTTTCTTGATTTAATATAAGTTCCAAAATGTAGAATGAACCAGAAATGGGGATTTATCTATGAGGACTGAAAAGGGTGCCCTAATATCTCTATTTGTAAGTTTGCAATAGCAAAATATGTTCTCCTTAAGTATAGTTTAATCAACTGTGCTGTTGCTTCTGGCAGCTGTGCCAGCTTCTGTTGCAATATAGTTGACGTAAGCATGCAAATATAGCTGAGTTTAAATCAAGGTTATCCCCTTATTAAAGCTATCAGTCCAGATGACTGAGAATGGGGGCATAGCAGAATTAAGCACACATTCAAGGAAAGATCTTATTATATATTTTTATATATTTATACATAAAAATGTGCACAGAAATGTATTTGCTTTCATACGCATTTGTTTCACTGAATATACGATTTTAACAGCAAATTTATAATTTCTATTGTCACAGTCTCCTAATTGTGTTCTAAGGTCTTTGCATTATTCCTCTATGCTTATACATAGACCAGCTAGGACTGTATTAAACCCATCAATTCCATAATATACAGATGCCATATGTTCTTTCCTATGCAATATAATTTCATACTTTTCCACTACATTATCTCTTTATTGGTTAAAGGGGACTGTACAAACTCCAGGTCATCATGGTGCATGAAAATGGTCAATGACAATAGAAAGTTGATACCAGTTTATTTTTACCATGTTCCTCAGTTGTGCAAAGCAGCTACCTGAAGAGTATTATGAATTTGCTTCCCGTGGTACTGTCAGTGTGAAATAGACTTTATAAATTTTCTGGCAGTTTTCATTCTGGAGTGAATACTTAATTGGCTTTTATTTAAACACTGGCATATATTTGAACATTGGCAATGGATCATATATGTACATCCACAAATGGAACATATGTTTAATATATCCATTTATGTAGTCTCATGTGTAAGAATTGCAGTATGTAGAAAACTAACCTGGTGAAGTGGTGGGTACTAACCTGAACTCACTGGTTTGGCTCAGCTTAGCACTGTGTGCCTGAGTTTAGCCTGACACAGTGAGCAGAGGCTGGGGAAGGAAGGACTACAAGGCATTGGAGTAAACGCTGGATGATCCTGCCTTTAATATAGATTCCTAGATGTTGGTAATATATTTTCAAGGGCTTCCAAGA